AATTTGATTAGATTCAGTACGGAAAATAATTAAAACAATTTAGTTGTTGTCCTATCTTTCAAGAGTTACATTTCTGTACTTATTTGTCTTCAAGCTTTGTAAATGCATGTGGCAGAAATGGAAATCAGAGATCTATTTTAGCACTGTTTTGATCTGGAAGAGCTGCATTTATGAGCTTCAAAGAGCGGTGACAAATATTGATCTAGAATAAGAAGAGGATTAATCCTTCCTGCTTGAATGAATATATTTTTAGGATGATGAAAAATAAGCTCTACTTTTGTAAACCTTGGTTTACCTGTGCTGTTCAAAAGCTGTGGTCATATCATTTAACATTTGGGTTGCTTAACTGCTGTTGAGTTGGTATAATCCTTGAACTTTTCTTGCTGCCTTTTTTTCCTCTTTTTTTTTTTTTTTGGTTATCTCCCTACCCCATACATAGAGAAACTTGTTGTTGTTTACTTGAAATCAGCTGAGTTGACTACATCCAGCCAACTAGAAGTTTGTCTGCTAGCAACTCACATTAGATATGGAAAATATGCTTAACTGAAGCTGTGAAATTGTTTATGACTTTCCTGTTTGCATGAAAATTTTCACAAGGAAAGGGAAAAAGTGAGGTAGAGTAGATATCTATACAGAGATACAGATAATATATAAGAATTTCTTTCCTAGCACTGTTACCTAAAACTTTCAGAGCAGTGCACCAACAGCATAGGGTTGTTTTTTTTTAATGTGGGGAGATCAGGGAAAATGTATTGAAGCAATAGTTAATAAACTTTCCTTTTTGTCCATGTGGCCACATTCAAATAGTTTGCTGAAGCTGATGGTATTATGAAGCATCAGCATGAATGGCATGAAGTGTGTGGGGAATCTCCATCATGGGAGGTCAGGGGAACAGACTAGGTAACAATTTATCTGAAGTGAGAGGTTTGTAGTGCAGGAAGAAGAGCTGTAAGAGCTCTCAAGCCTTCTTTTGAGGAATTGTTATGAGTAGTCTGTGCATTTAAGTAGAAGAAATCATGCCTGAATAACCAGGCAAAGTAATCTTCAAAGTAAGCTAAGTAATGCAGAGGGTGTAATTGGAGTCTGTAATCTATTATCACAATAAGTATAAATTTAGCCTAGAATATGAAGCCTGCTGCAGAATTTAGTGTTGTAAGTTTGGGCTTACGTATATAGCCATTATATGGGTTTGGTGATTTGGTGGTACAGTTTAGGATATATTTTCACTTGGTATCTTTGGTTTTAACAGGGAGCTTGAATTACAGCTTTCGTTGGTTTTTGTGCAATTTGGTGATATCTCGTAGTATGTTTGTAAATGTTGGGGAGCTGTTGTATAAGGAAAACATTCACCCACACAGAGTAGTAAGCCAGATTTCTTTATCATCTCTGTAAGCTTATCCAACTCTGAATAAAATAATTTTAATTCTCACCTCTGTGTTTTCTTCTGGTTTTCCCCCTGAGAATACTTCAAGGTAATGGTAATGCCAGTTAGTGAGAGATAGAGTCCTCTGGTCATGTTTTCTGAATCACTAGAAGTAGTGAGATTACCCTTCAGCACTTCTTGAGGATTAGTAGTTTTTTGATTTGTAGAATCTGCATTCAATTAGTTATAGGATTTAAATTCAAACCACATCTCTGTAAAAGCAAACAATATATTTTAAGTTTTTTTTAGGATTAGTGAAATTGTTATTCCAATAAGCTTAAACCAAGGTAAGACATTTCACTTGAGGGTGTTCTGCACATACCATACTCCCATTTGTAATTTCCAGAATATCCTTCAGATTTCTGCAAGTTTGAAAAATGTGTTCTGAATAATATTATTCTAAAGATGAAATCAGCATTGTTTTATTTGTCTTCTCTCTTTACAGTATAGACTTCCAAAAGAACAATCCAATACACAAATTAACTGAAGAGGAGCTTCTGGCTTTTACTTCAGTAAGTAATTTACCTGGCGCTTAATAAACATTTTTTCACTTAATATTCATGTACCAAGCAATAATCTGTCAGTCACACTAATCAGGAAACTGTTTGTAAACCAAATCTGTGTTAGTAGTCAGATGTTTCATTAATTTTTTCATATTTCAAGAAATTAAAGTATGCTGAATTTTAACATTATTCTCAGCCATCGTCATGCAGGAAAAACTTGACATCTAAAAATTTAATTTCACCTCGAAACACATACAAAACATTTTCATGTGTTTAAGTTTTATTCACTACATGAATTATAGCATAATATGTGACTAAATTTTACAGCAAGCTCTTCTTGTGCCATTAGTGTTGAAGGTGCTTTTCTTTAAACAGAGTTCAAGAAGAGTTCTAAAGCAATTTTGGCTTCATTCTGTCAGATTTATTCAGTCTGTATCATGTTAGGCATGTTTCTTTGCAATTCACTGGCTGATTTGCTGCAGAACAAATCTATAACTTCCAGTGAAGCTTTGAAAATTCTCAGTATTTTTTTCTGTAATTATTTATTATTATATTTTTCCTTCAGACACAATTTGCTTCTGCCTAGATATTTTCTGCTTTTGTGGGGTTTAGATGGGAGGATGTAGGGAGAAAGGCTTGTCATTATGTTGTCTTTTTTTGCCTAATTTTCACAATATTAGACTTAGGTTTGGGTGCAGGAAAGAGGACTTACTTGCTCTCCTACCTAAGCCTTGTAGTAAGAGACTGTATTGCGGTAGTAGTGTCCTTTGAAAAAGTAAATTATGAGATCTCAGCAAAAACCCCTTGGATTTCACTTGAGCTAGAATCTTACCACTGACAGTTGTAGTTATGTGAAAAGATCAAGAAGAGTAATCTAAGGTTAACTATGGTAATGTTTGGCTGAGGGTTTTTTGTAAAAGGAGGTTCAGTCTGTAAAAAAAGATAATCCCAATCTTACTAGATAAATGTAAAATAGGTTGGTTTAAAAGTGCTGTTTGTTTAGGTCCCTCTGCTAGTACAGTATATGTAAGAGGGGATGCATGAGGGAACTGAATGAATTGCTATAAAACAGTTTAAATTTTGTAGGTTTTCTCCTTGTTGGTACAATGATTGTAGTGCTATGATTCCTCATGATGTAATTTCTGAAGTATTTTTTTTTGAACTACAGTTTTGTTCTGGGTTTGGTGGGGGTTTTTTGTGTTTTGTTCTGGGTTTGTTTTTTTTGTTTTTTTTTTTTTTTTCCAAAAGGGAGACCTAGAGAGGAGGAAAAAGTTGAAATGTAGAAAAAAATGAGACTGTGCACTGTCCTGTTGTAGTAATTAAAGTATCCAATAAGATTATTAAAGATTTATGACCATTAAAGGGGAACAAAAGATTAGAAATAATAAACACATGTAAAGTAAGGAAATGTATACATAAAAGAAGCCTGTAGGAGTTGACAGCAAACTGGTGAACTGAGTACTGTAAGCTTTTTTCAAAAGTGGTGAAATTATTACAATACAAATTTCCCTCCAAAAGTAATGCTAATACGAATGTATGAAGTTTCAAGACATGCATGTAATTTCATTAAGACAAATTCTGCCATTTTTGTTGTTAAAATAGTGTTAAAACAGGATATAAAACTATAAAAGTAGGGTTTTCTGTGAAAACTCGGAATCTTGTTTCTCATATTTTATTTCCAAATTCCATGGATTATTTTTATATACCCTTTGTTTCAGTCTCCTGACTACCACTATTGTTTGCATTATTATTGGGTGGAAAACCAGCCATTATATACCTGAATCTTGAGATAACTTCTCCATTTTTTTTCTATAATTTCTTATATTAAATGGAGTGGTATTGTGATAATAGAGTATCTTTAATAAAGTTGACCCTACTCCTATAGTGGTCTACTTCTAGCATAAAGCACATAAATACTTTAAATATTTTTAAAGTTTTATAGCAGAGTAGAAAAAGTTAATGTAGGCTGTGCATTAGAGAAGAGATAATCAGCCTTCCTGTCATCATTTATCTGACATTGCTTGACACATAACCTGTTAGATCAGATGTATGAGATCTGTTGGGTGAATTCATCATGATGGGAAAATCAAACTGCATTTTTCTGCCATCTAGTGGCTGATCCCTCAAAAATCACAGGACAGCTGATTAACTTACTCTTTAATTACTTTACTGCAATGATTATGGGGAGCTTATGTTTTCATTTATTTGCTTATAATTTTTATAGAGCTGCTAAGTCAGCTATGGCTTGCTTCACAGTTGTAAGATCAGCAGCCACTGTTAGGTGAGATCTCCAGAGAAACAGCTAAGAGATCTGTGTAGGCTTCCCTATCAATTTGTGCTCAGAGTAGCAAAAAAGAAGGATCTATGGCAGTAGAGGTATAGGAATGTAGATCTTACTAATAATGCAAAATTGAGTCAACAGCAGTGACATAAAGAAGTAGCTGGTAGTCTAAATATTAGAGTAAATAGTAATTTACTGAAGATTAATAATTCTTGGTATCAGAATAGTGTTCTTTTAAATGTGTACATAATGTTTCCATTAATTGGATGTAGGGACACAATTGAGTCTTAGAATTATTTTTTCTTTTGATCTTGACCTATGGTCCCAAGACACAAAAAGAACAAGTATGAACTGTAGTAACACCATCCCAGATCTTTCCTGAAAGCTAAAAGCAGGAATCAGATATTAGCTTATATGAATTCATTTCTGTAAGTGTACCTTTTGTGGCTCTTGCATCTGCGCCCAAAATTGTGAATAGTCACTGCAGAATTTCATAATGAAATCTCTGAGCTCTTCTGTGTCTCAGATCTGAGTCATTGAGGCAAATTCATCACTGTGTTCCGTGGCAGTCGGGGTGTTCTGTGTCCATGTTAACTCCTTGGTGGGTATGTTAACACAGCCTTGGTTCCTACAGTGGGCTGTTAGCTGAGTAAATTAAATGGCACCATAGCTCCTATCACTGGATTTAAGGTATTTACCAAGCTTTGGTACTGCCAAATGAGGCAAATGAGCACTATATCAATGCTGCTCTAGTAATTTCTTAGCATCAAACTGCTCTGTGTGTGTGTGTGTGGTGTGTGTGAGCAGGCATCTTCTCAGCCTACATGTGGATTCCTAAATCTGCAGGCTGGTTAGATGGTTGTCATGGCATTCATCTGATATCTACTGAAATTCATGTTTCCTCAGAAAAGCAAGGCATTTCAAGTTACCTTAGGAAACTTGAAAAATGACAAGGCATTTTTTAATTGATCAGTTGTATCATCAAAAGATCCTCTTTGCTTTGGGCACTGCAAAATAAGTGCACAGTGACATGCAATTTCTCTCAAGCAGAGAATTAAGATCTAGGTAGTACAAGAGGGAAAGGATAGTCAAATGGGTCTCAAGTAGAATGATGTTTTTCTGCCTTGTTATTAGGTGCAGTTTGGAAAACTGACATTCTTGACTCCCTTTTATATGTGTAAAAGTTGAAAATTATTTGATCTGGAAGACATATCTATATATCAATATCTATATCTATTAAACAACATAACTTGTAATGCTAAAAATAACACTTTTAATTCACTGCTTGGCAGCAGCAGTCAACTACAAATGGATTGCTGCATTTAATTTACTGGAGTCACTTGGAAATAGCTGCTATTGTCCTAAAAGCACTATCTTTTGTTAAAAATAATTGCTTTTAGTGTTGCTCATTTTTGAAGCAACTTGTGCGGGTCTTTGTAGTCTCATTGATTGGGATAGCAGCTCTTGTAACAAGAATTTGGACTTAAATTTTGAGATGTTGTAGTCAAATCTCAACCCATCAGTATAATACTTCAACTTTCAAGATGTTAATCCAGAAGTGAAATTAGATGCACTAGATTTTTTTTCTTTTTCTATTTCAGTTGTTGATACAGTATCTTTACGTGAGAAGTAGTGCAACTTGCATTCTACATTTTAGCATAAGGCTAAACACAAAATAAACCATTTATTTTGAGGGATGAAATATTATTTTTTTCACACTTAATAGTTTAGAAGAATAACTATAAATTTTTAAAATTAATTCTATTATAGTAAGCACTTGCTCTCCTAAGAAAGCTAAGATATATTTTAGCAATCAGATAACACTCGAGCCACTTCAGAGACACAGTTACGCAGTTGATGAACTTTCTGATTACCTAACTGAATATTGCATTCAAGAGCCATTTTCAGAGAGGAATGGTGGGGACAGTAAAGCAGTAGTGAGACTCAGTGCTTCTCTGGTAGAATTACTGGTTTCTTCTTTTAATAAAATTTGCCACTGCTGTTTTCTGTGTAAGATGTAGGAAGTAGATGATGCAAGAAACCAAAGAACCTCTGCTTTTACATTGAGATTTTGTAGGTTAGTTTACTCCCAGGTCTCCAGATCAGTTTTCCAATGCTTAAATGTGTTTCGTTGCCTTCTTTAATTTCAGTGGATTCTTTTTAATGTGAAAATACAATTGTGAAGTTCTGCTGCATTTTATATTGCTTAGCAGTTTCCCCCTAGAATTACACAAGTACATCACTGAGCTGTAAATCAGTGGCCAAAATACTTTTTTTTAGAAAAAAAAATCCTTTTAGGAAATGAACAAAAGCCTTAAAATAATTTCCGTTAAATATTTGTTGTTTGCATTATTTTGAATAGGTAATGCAGGTCAGACAGTATACCAAAGAGGCAATGAAATGAACAACAAGGCTATGTAAGTGTACATGGTGTTTAAAAAAAAAATCAAAATTACGTTTAAAGCTTTATAAGATATTTGTGATGTGCACATAAGTTTTAGAACCAGGGACTGGAAACTATTTTCTGAAATGTAGAAAAGTTCCAGGAACACATGAAGCATCTATTTAAGAATTGATAAATATTCCTTTATTATAATTTTAATATGATGTCATTCTTGCAGAGAAAAATGGAAAATATTAGACTGGATGGTGTATTTTTCTCTTGAAAAAGAGAATTTTTTTTTTTTTCTTTTAAAGGATAGTAAGATTAAACTCTGCAATGCAAGTTCTTGGAGCTTCATAGAAAGCTTATACTATAGCTTGTAGTTTACATACTGGGAAAGCAATTAAATGTTTCATAGTCTAATATGACACTCCAACAAATAGCCAAGACTAAGGAGCTGCAGCTGGTCTTTTAAATTACCCATTCCATCTGTCAAAGCCCTTGAACAGTTCAGGAGAAATGTTTTTTGTGGTAAATATGATGAGCACTTAGCCTATTGTGGGAGAATATTACTTTTTGCCCTTATTAGTGTAGCATGATCAAGGGATGTTGGGTGGCAGCAACAGTATTAACCTGTAGGGGGACTGAGAAGAGAAAGTAACCAGCAACTGTGAAGGAGATGCTTTGTGCATCCCACATAAGACCCAAAAATGGGTCTTAGACCCATATTTGTATCCTTTGGAACCCATGAAAGATGAGAAGGAAGAGAAATGGAACCATGAAAATTTAGTTGTTTTAGTTTCTTAAAATTGTGAGGCTTCTCAGGATTTATGGTGAGTTGAAAAGTTGGGTTTTTTTATTAGGTGGTGAAAGAGGGAAAAGGAAGCTCTGGCAATTCTTCTCTTTGGATATTTTGAACAGGTGAGGATATCTTCTAAAGAGGGAAAAAAATGCAGGTTAATAACTTGTATTTTGCTTGGACTACAAAACTGAAGTTATTTACCACCTTCTAACAAAAACAATGTATCATGCTGAAATTGTTCCACTAATACTGAGAGTGATACCAAGGTCTGATGGAGGACTTGGAGGATGTGGAAGGAGTCTGAAAAATCTGAGGAATACTATGTATTCCAAAGGTAGACCGGATGAGAATGTTTTTCCTCTGTGTTTAGCTACTGATTCCATAAGAGACTGTTTTTACTAAGGAATTTTAGAACTATTTGATTTTTTTTTTCCGGAGGTGGGCATTTATTGACTGTAATAGAAGCCGATGTTGTATGGTACCTCTGAAAATCACAGTGAAGGATTACAGTGCACATTTTATTGAGTGTGTGTGTGTAAATATGCATATATGAATACCTGTTCTGCTTTTCACTGTCGAAGGGGGCTTTGGGACGAGGGAATGGAAGGTGGAAATGGAAATGCTTTGTTTTTCTCATCTTTTCTATGGCATTTGCGATATTAATGTGGAACTAGGGAGCAATCAAATCATGGCATACGATATTTTTAATGTTAAGCCTTCCTATCAAAACTCTATAAAACTAACATGCCAATTTGGTTTCTAAAGAGAAATTGTTTATATAGCTTAAATAAAACCAGTGCATTTTTCTCTGCTGAGAAAATGGCTGCAGTTTTTTTTTTTTGTTTTATAAGCAGCAAGAGTATTGAAAAGCTCATTAAGAGTGCCATGTGTCTCTACTGCTGTAACTTTTGTGGCTTTATAAAAAGTTTCTTTCACTTCTTTTCTAAGCTGTGTTGCCCATGTTGAATAGCCTCTGTTGGTTACAAGATTGTAACACTGCAAAGGCTTTCTCTCAGCAAAGCCCTGCTAGTTACTTGTGAGACATTTTAAAAGTAAATTAATTCAAAGCTAGTCTATTCTTTTTTAATTCTTTCATTTATTTTTTTTTTTTCTTCTAAAGAATTTTTTCAAAAGTCTGAATCATTTTACAGGAATGTCGGGATCTAAACACTTGCTAATTTAGTGCATGTATGCCTTCTGGCCCATCACACAGTACTGGGAAATCAGATGAGTGTAGCAAAAGAGAAGCTGCCTCTTTCTGCTGCATGTGCAAATACTCCACTGGATCTCTTGGCAACTTGTTCCCAAAGCATCTGGTACTTGAGTGTGCAGTGTTTTCGTGGAGGCTGGCCTGCTGTTGTCATTTATGTTTGCTGCATTTAGATGTTTCAGGGTAAAGTAACTGGGTGCTGTAGTACATGTGTTGCAGGGCAGGGGTGAAGCTTGCATTCCATTCCAAAACTGGGATTAAGTAACAGTCTGTCTGATGTTGGTTTATTTTACAGAGTATCAGATTTCAGCATAATTGACACTTTTATCCCTTTCAACTTTGTTCTCCTCTGTGGTCTGCATTCTTCCCTCAGTCCATGGGATCCACAGTTTTGCATGAATTATATCTTGCAAGAGATGATTCCTGATTTATAGTGTGCCTTTCTGAGCAAGAAATTTGGGATAGCCTTTCCTTTCTAGCATGGTGTGCTCTTTTGTACAATCCATAAATACTCAAGCAATAGATTTTAGTGAGCTCACTGTAACTGCACTGGTCAAAGAACATGGAAATCATGTTTAAATATGAATAGATTTTTTGCCTGTCTAAGGGTTTGAGAAATTAAGCAGACAAATTTGATTACAATTAATAACATTTTTTCCCACAGCAGCCTTTCTTCTCCTCCTGCTCCTTTATCTATCAGCAGTTCATTTATTTTTTCTAGCCGCCTCTCTGACAGCCAGTTGACATGTCCCAGGCTTCCCTTCCCCCTCTCATGTCCTTCACCAGTTATAACTATTATAATTTACTTCAGCAAGAAAGTTTTCATTGCAACAAGAAGGTGAAATTAAACCCCCTATTCAACAGAATGCTGTCTAAGGTATCATCTGAAGGAAATAAGACATTCTCACTATTCTGTCTGATGCTTAGTAACCCCTTTTTGGTGATGTTATGGTGATCAGTTCATGTGTTATCAGTACTAGCATTTACTTTCTTTAGTGACTTTTATTCTGTGTATAATTCATTATATTTAGTGACTGTTTTGCTGGAGAGGGCACACATGAACTAAATAAGGCATAAATCCAATCCTCTCTTTTTTCAAAGTAAATTTTTTATTGTTTTACTACTGCATGAGGAAGAATTATTCTTAAATTTCATATAGCTATCATAATGTTTTGCCCTCATCTTCTCTACCTACCTAAATATCATCCCTTCATTTGTTTTATTTCCTAACCCAATACCTCAAATATTATTCTAATCTTGCTTGTTCTGTAGCATCTGAAAAAATAAAGGTAGTTGAATTCTTGTTTGCTAGTGTCTAAACAACTTGAGTTTAATTTTCTCTGATATCATGTCTAGGTTTCAACTGGAAGTAGAACATTTTTCGTATCAGTTCACCAAACAATCTTTATAGTCTATGTTAAAGATGAAATATAGAACAAGTAACATATTTCTGTGACTTAATACACTTTAAGACGGGT